CGTGTTGCGTTGCAATGCGCCACGTAAACATAAAACCATGTCTGCATTTGTGATCGGAGAAATGACAAACAACAAGCCCTACTCTACACTGCCCAAAAAACTCGCTTTAAATATATAAAATATAAAAACTCTATAATTATAAAAAACTTACTTACAGTCTGTGAGTCAGAACAGCCGGCATTGTAGTCTACTCTCCCAGGATCACGAAATGGTCCTCCATAAAATGTTCTGGAACAGTGTTGTAAATACAACTTAACCACTGATTTGTAGTCGCGTCCATTTTTGGAAGGCCAAACAAAGTAGTTTCGCTTTCACAACGAAACACAGCGTCACACACGGCGGCCTAGAGTAAGCAGAGGCCGGGGGATAAAGTGAGGAACGGCCGGAGGGCTAGAGTGAGGACTCCGCTTCGTCCACGGTGAAAGCCTATCTGGCGATCCACAGCTCAAAGTTGTAGTATTTCCTCAGCAACCAGCACGGATCAGCTCCAGGTTATGCAAATCTTCCCACATAGAGATGTAGATATGTGGGGGCGTGTTAGAACGAGCCGTTTTAGGTAGGCGTGGCTGACTCTTAACTTTTATAAAGAATATCTCTTTGGATTTGAGACTTTAGTCTTTGCAACTTTACAGATCTTCTTTATGCACCAAGAGCTTGTAACACTCCAAAGAGAAAGGAAAAATTGAAATCGCATCATATGACCCCTTTAAAACTACAAATAGTGGCAAAATTAAAAGTGCATTATGGGTGTTGAAGTTTTTGGTGAAAGCCCTTTTTTCTGTTTTCTCTAATCATGAAGCATGGATTTCAAACTTTTTTTGTATGTTTCTACTGCACAGACAGCCAAGTTTTATTAAAAGCCCATCTTGTCAGGCAGAGACACATGACCTGGAGAGAAGAATGACGAGAGAGTACTAATCAACTCCAGCTGCATCCATGCTACGATTTAAGTGCAAACAAGAAACTGAACTCTTAAAGAGTGTTTATCAGAGTAAGTTACGCCCTTTGTCCCGTTTACCCCCCTCTCTAATGAGGGCACAAATTGGGTCCACTCTCTCATTGGCATTTACACTGGCACAGCTATCTGATGAAGGGCTCTTTATGTGCTTTGATCCTGTTTGGTTTCCTTCTAATGATCAGTTGACTCCCCCTCGGTGAGCTGCGCTCAAGCCCGCATGTTCTCTGTCACTCAGTCTAATGTGTAAGCATGCGCTGGTTACCCACAGCAAACAGCGTTCTAAGATCTAGAAATGTCTGTGCCACGCTGGACTGGTGTTTACTGCCGAAAACCAGCATGTTTGATCATATTCTGCTGGAGCCTGCTTTCTGGGGAGCAGGCACTCGCGGTTCAGCCATCAGATGTGCCTGCAGTGATGCAGAGAGAGGGAACAGAAACCGAAAGAATTCCATAGTGTGTGTAATGTGTGTATAGTCAAGCTAAGAGCTTTAGGAGGAGATTTTATGTGGCTGGTAAGTTTAATTTAAAAGAGACGGCTGCTGGTTGAGATAATGAATTAGATGTGTATATTTTGTGAATTTTTTTAATCTCACAATTCAGACTTTTTTCTTGCAATTCTGACTTTTACTTCTCAGAACTAAGCTTACAGACTTTTTTCTCTGAATTCTGAACTTACATCTTGCAATTCAGTTTTTCGCAATGGAATAAAAAGTTAAAAGGCTAATTGTGACTCTTAGCTGTTGTGAGTTTATATTTCAGTTCTGAATTTTTTTTTTCTCAGAATTACATGTTTATATCTTGTTTTTCTGAGTTTAAATCTCACGGTTCTTAGAATTGTATGAAAAAAGTCAGAATTTGTGAGGTATAAACTATATATAAAAAAATAAGCTTACGAAGTATAAAAATGTCTGAATTTTGAGGAAAAAGTCACTTTTTTTTTAATTCTGTCGGAAACAAGCTTCCATAGCAGGGTATGCATGTATGAAGCCACTGTTTGTTTGTTTGTTTGTTTGTTTGTTTGTTTGTTTGTTTGTTTGTTTGTTTGTTTGTTTGTTTGTTACTACTGCTTATTTAAAAAAAAAATGATAATCTATAATTTTGTATAGACTAAAGACAAATATTTTTATCCTTTGGTTTGCATCCATCAAATAAAGCCAAATAAATTCTAAATACTTTCAAAATGAGTGGTAATTCACTAATTATATCATTAAAAAAATATCAATATAATTATATAATAAAAAAAATAATTGATAAAATTTTACTGTAAATACAATACAAATTAATAGTATTATATAATTATTATAATTATGTATAATAATCATATTATTGAAGTGTATACCTTACTGGATTTTACTATCTATATATGAAATATTTTACAAATAAATGGTACACTGTAAAAAAAAAAATCTGTGACATTTACGATAAAATACCGGCAGCTGTAGTTGCCAGAACTTCACAGTAAAAAATATGGTAGCAACATTTTAGGTTTTACAGACTTAACTTAAATTCACAATAAAATACCATATTTCATTAACTGATGTAATGTTAATAAACCAACATATTGAAGTGTTAATATCTGTTTTGAACCATTGTAATGCACTGATAACCACCAAAAACTAGTGGTGATGAGAAAGTCACGTGATGAACCAAAGTTCACCGCAAACTAAGCTCTACGAGCTGAGGGCAATATTTATATATAGAAGGTGCACAGTGTCATTCACACAAACACTAAACCCCATCACGGTGACACACGTGATACTGAAATAATGCAAGAAACATTAATTTAACAACATTAGATGTAAGATCTAAGATAAGATAAGAAAAAACTAAGAAGAAACATCAAATATGAAGTGTCATGCAGAGAATTCTGGGAGTGTCAATTTACGTTTTTTCACTGTAAATTATACATGACTTTTTCTTTTTCACTTCCAAAAACCATATTTTTAACAGTATTTTACTGTAAAATTACATTAAAATGTAATTTCATTTATTCACCGAATATAGTATGGAAACTTACTGTTAACCAGGTTTTTACTGTTAAAATCACAATCGTTTTTTTTACAGTGTAGTTCATATAATTTTATAATTAAAGAATTTAAGTTATTGGATTGTACTAATTTATTGTATATATTTATAGATAATATAGATATAGATATATATGAACACAATTTCTTTGTATTCATATAAGTAAATTGTGATGTAAAAATTGCTTGTACCATGATAAAAGATTCTGATCACACTGTCTACCCCTAGTGTGTGACATCATTGTTTACTCTGTGCTAAGGCCAAGAGCACAGTCTCCAGCAGAATCATACCACTGCCGGCGCTCTCTCTTACATGCAGATTCACAAATAAACACACGCCACCGGCGCTCCACAACAGCACATTTCTCTGGTCCAGGTGTGGGCCCTGACCATCTGCACCCTGCCTCTAATTACTACACCACCGTGTGGAATCATTTAAGCGGTGTTTATTTGCGTATGCCCACATGCAAGCGCCTTTTGGCCCTGCCACCCTGTGTGTATGTGCTATCTGCTGGGCACACGAGGAGAAGCAGAGTCACTGTCTCTTCCCTGGCAGGCACGCTTCTTTTGCTTTGAGCCAGTAGAACAGGATTTACGAGCACCTGTCACAGAGGTATGTGCCTCCTTTCCTCCCCCACCAGCGCAAATCATCAGGGCCACCCAGTCCCTGCTATCGTTTTAGCACTGTACAGTGTGTGTGTTTGAGATGTTCTGTATACACACCAGATAATAACTGAAAAATTATGGACACCACCATTCTGCATCTGATGTATGTTTAAAACAATGCATATATCTCAGCGGTTATGAGTCCCTGCTGTCCGTGACTGTTTATACAATGGACAAAGTTTAACAACATGTAACATCCACAACATATACAATACAAATCATGCTGAGAATAACACTCTCCACAAGGTGCCAAAACACAAGCTTTGGCCATTATGTGCACAAATATTTTATGTACGTACTTTAAAAAAAAAAATCAATTTTTCATAGTTTTTGACTCTATTCCCATTGGATACTTCACTTTAGTCATCATTAAAGTGAGTCTTTTTTTTACAAGAAAGCATAATACATGGATTTATTTTTCCTCAAATTGATAGTATTGTACCTCTACTATTTCAAGCAGATTGTGTGTGAATTATACAGAGACTTTTAGGGAGCTTGACATTTCAACAGGAAATTTTCAGGTCACACAGTTAACTGAACATCATCTCATATTAAACATGGAAACATTTTAGTAGTATATTTGTAACATGTAAGTGTTTTTTCCAAGTCATAATGACAGTGTTAATGTTTTGTCAATATTCCATCCAATGATGATCCTAATGAAAAATACTCGGGTACCTCAGTGACCTGTTGCTATGGTTACTGCTTCAGGCAAAAAACTATTTGTTTGTGAGTGTTTATTGAACCCATAGATTTTTTTTATGCTTCAAAAAGAAGTCTCTTATTCTCACCAAGGCTGCATTTATTTCAGTGCACCCAAAAATGTACACATACTAATATTGCAAAATATGAATACAACTTAAAGTAACTGATTTCTATTTGAACATATTTTAAAATGGCAAAGCTGAATTGTTCTTTAGCCATGATCCTTCAGAAATCATTCTAATATGCTGATGTGCGGCTCAAGAAACATTCCTTATTATAAATGTTGAAAACAGTTGTGCTGCCACATATGTCTTTCTATTTTATTATTTACTTTAAATTAACCATAACTTGTTCTTTATACACTTAATGAACATTTTCCCAAGTCCCATTATTCTGAAAGCTGAAGCATTGTTTAGAAGTTCAGATTATGAATTATCTTAAATGACAAACACTTCATTTATATTTAAAAGAATTAAACAACTACAGGTGACTTGTGAGAGCTTGAGATTAGCACTTTTTACAGTAATAGTGAATCATTTAAAATCTCTCCTGACTTCAAGCACTGCAGTGATCCTGCCTAACTGTGTGAGTCTTGTTTAATGTTGCTGTTTGCTTCATCTTTCTCTCTGTGTGTGTTTTGAATGCAGCAGAGCTGCAGAGGGAGGGAAGCATCGAGACGCTCAGCAATAGTTCTGGCTCCACCAGTGGCAGCATTCCCCGAAACTTCGAGGGCTACCGGTCCCCTCTCCCCACCAATGAGAGCCAGCCCCTCAGCCTCTACCCCACCGCATTCCCCTAAAACCAGCCGTCCCGCCCACATCTCAGACCCAAGGAAAACCTCTCTGTCGCCTTTGGACAATCTTGACAGTGCAACCACAACACATCACCCACGAGAGAGGCCACACTCTCACCCTGCATCCTGCTCTCCTATATCATTTCTCTCTTCTTTGAAATGTGGATTTTCCTTTAATCAAACTCGGCATGCAGGAAAACAATGTTCGATCAGGCCCGGTGTTAACATCCCTCGTCATTCACTTCCCTTGTAGATTAATTTTAATGTTACCTCCACCTGAGAGAGAGAGAGAGCGCAAATATTAACTTTGATGGGTCGGATGTACTGTAGAAGGGATCCACTGGAGTTGCCACTTTTCTCAAAGATGTGTCATATTACCAATATCATTATCAATCGAACTTCCAGTGCGTATCTTTATTGAACGCATGTGCATGAGTGAGAGTGTGTCTTCATCAGATACGAGTCCTGATTACCTCTCAGTAGTTGAGTTTAGGTTTGAGCTTAGAAAGCGCAATGCTGATTTTTTTTCCGATCAACACTTCATTAGACAAATAGTGTTTGATATATTTTAGTAAACGTGTACTGTAACATTTGAATTGATTTGACTTTTATAGGTAATCAAACATGGTTATGTTTACCATTTAATCTTGTTACATTATAGTGTTCATTATTCCGCACATTTTTTTCTGTATATTTGATTTTTTTTTTTTCTTTTCAGTTTTTTGGATTCAATTTTATTGGCTTTATAAATTAAGTAGTTTCAAATTATTTAAATTCCTTTCAATTTAGGGGGAAAATGAAATGTATTGATTCTTTCAAAAGGGATTTTTGTGTTCTAATGTTTCCTTGTTTGATTGGCTTTAATAGGATGTGTGCGAGGCTGATATTTAGCAGTGGTGCTCTCAAGGATCCACAGCAAATTTCATTCAGCTCAGGTGATTTAGGTGATTTAGACACTACCCAAATGTTAAAAAACTTGTTCCATCATTATCATTATCATTATTATCATCAATAATTTCTATTAGCTTATTTAACTATTTTTAAAAAAGGCTTTGTTTGAAGAACTTGCTTGACTGGATGTAACGTTTTACATACACTCACAACACATAGTTATTGATAAATACCAATTAAACAAGAAATGTGAATACATGGTCCTAATCATCAGCCTGCTGTTGGCTGACAGCCAACGATGTTGAAAGCCTCAGTAGCTGGAGAGGAAACATGAAGAGTTTGTTCACCGTAATTTATTACGCCATTCAAGTTGGCATGACTTTAAGTCTGAATGCAGTGCACATGCTTTGGATGGACTATATTTTTTGTAATAATACTTTCGCAATGTGATCTTGAAATAGGAATTTATGCAAGTGAATTTAACTAGTCTTCTATACATTTGCGTGTTTGCTTAATACAGCATATGCATTCTGACTTCCTTAGTTTGTTGTTTTCCCTTGTTAACTTACCTTGCTCTCTCCTGAATATATTTGTTATACAAAAAATAAATAAAAAATAAATGCATTTAAATGACAAGATAAAAATCTGGGCCTGAGGCTACAAATCACAATCACTGCCTTTGTTTAGGGAACTGTTTTTTATCATCACGAATCTTCCACAGGCTTCAGGACAGGCTGAGATTTCTTCCATCACTGCTTTAGTTGCATGTGTGTGAGCTTTGTTTCGTGATGATATAATGAAAGGTTTATTTGCAATTATATAGAGCAGCTGAATTTTCCAGAACAAGCTGTCTGTTGTAAAACTTTAGGAATTTATCAATATTATAAATGTGCTCTTAAAATATTGAACTTATTCAAAATTATTTTAAACATGTTAAGTAATTATATCTGATAGGAAACAATATAATGTGTATACAAAGTGCCATTTTCTTATAAAAACATTATTATACAACTTGACCTGATGCAGTAGACAGACAAAATCACAAAAAAAGCCATTGTTGTTATCATAGTGATTTTTATTGTGCCGAGTAAGACAAGCAGAAATGTGTTGCATGCAAAGAAGCAAAAGGTAATTTTTTTCACTTTTCCATTCTCACCAGCATCTTAAAGCATCTTCTCAACGCTTACACACACACACACACACACACAATCACCCTTATACAGTAATGCTGCACACAGTGTCTCAAAGGCGACGTGAAGCAGTCATGACGGTGTGGAGGACAGTGGCAGAGCTCAGACTCTCCATCTGGGAAGGTCAGCCCTCGATTCTCTCTGTCTCCTTCCAGACCTCCAGTGCCACCTTATCACTGGAGCGACAGCCTATAAATACAAACAGAAGATAGTAGGCATTTCAGTGAGGAGTGTCAGTGGTTTCCTCCTTTCTGCGGGGTCAGAGGGCTGCTGTGCAAATTTGTACATTTAAAGAAGCATTCATCTATAAACAGTCTGCCGTTTAGTCACTGTGGCACTGATACAGAATCTACCATGAGTCAATCTGTCAAGGCTTGTTGGCAATACATGTAAGATTTTGTGGCTGTTTGTTCCAAAACACTCCTTGAATCCTCTACACTCCATGTATCCCAATGGGAACGGGCTCCATTCAGTAACAGGCTGCTTTCTGGCACGGCTGCTGGTCTCTCCCCCCTTTGGAGGTCATGCATCCCTTAACTACGAACTGAACTAATGGCAGCTCCTCTTGAACCATAAACAGAAAACATAAGGTTAATGTCTTTAAAGGGGGAAAAATAGTGAGTCTCAACCACCTTAGAATAAAGTATATTTTACTGTTTTCTTGTAGGTATTTTTCTTAACACAATAACCAAAAATCGAGTAACTTGTTTTTCATTTTATATCTGCATGAAGATGTCTTTTGGCCCCATGCAGCCCTGTTTTTTGGATGTGGAAATAAAAGCTTGTAAATTTGTAATGGCTTTGCTGATTTTATTCGCATAATGCATTGTTTATAGAGTTTAGTGGACACGATTTTATTAAAAATAAAAAAGACATTAACCTTGCTAAAAATTTAAGAACATTAATATACATCATTCAGGTAAGCGTCTCTTTTGATCAGTATATTTTGTTAGGTTTTTCAGTAGAGAACAATCTTAGTCAACTCTGTTACTCTGTTATGTTATGATTTTGTACAAAACATTTTAAACTTTTTGTTGTACTAAACATTTGTTGATTGAATAAAGGATATTTGTATAAATATCAGAATTATATCATCTTAAACACCTTGTAGTGTCATAAACGCAACACACAAGACTTGCAATAGGTAAAACTGTCAACCCTGTTACCTTTTTTTTTTTTTGAAAAGGCTATATCTATATCCCAACATGTTATGTACATTGCACTGTCAGTCACATTCATTATATTTGAAAGACATTCTTCGTCTGATATAAATGTTTAAGTCACTTCACAAATGCTTTGGTGAAAATGTATAAAAGCATAATTTCCTGTAGGCCTATAAGCAAATTATTCGCGCGGTTCGAAGGAGCTAAAGTGTTCTCCACACCATTTATCTGCTGTATTCTACATTAGCCTATTCACCACACATATTTTCCAAAAAAAAATTTTTTTTAAATGTTTGCATTTGGTTGGTTGGAGGTTGGCTTCCAGTAAACCGTAGACAATCGCTTCGTGTTGTAATATGTTACTTGTCAATCAGACGAGGCGTGTGAAGCACTCATCTCCACAACTGTTTGAGAGACAGTAAACTGAATAATATCTGACCGCTCCTGTGGGATTAAAGGGGTCAGTGTTGACATTAATGTGTGACACACTATTTTTCAATTAGCTGCTGAATAGCTTCGATTAGATCAACTTATCTTCAGGATCCCCACACCACACCTGGACGCGCATCTCATCAGCGTCCTGATCGAAACAGACTCAACGCTAACAGATACAGTGAGAACAATCTTCCTTTATCTTGAAGTCATTCTCACTGTATAGCGCCGGATTGATTGTGAAAGGGTGGTTGTTTTATATTATTGATGTTACTACGCAGAGTTCCCCCCCTCATCCCTTATTTCTTATCCTAGTACAATGACAAGTAGTTTAATCTTTACTATTTGAGTTTGTGGAAAAACATTATTTAGTATAAAGTGTATAATAAAGTTTATTTAACGACATTAATTATAAAGTCGGAAACACATTGGGTACATGCAAATCGTGTATAATATAGAAAATATGTTTATTTATTCACACTGCACAATACATTTTGGAGGTGATAACCTGATTTAAATGCATTAGTATTTTACAATTGTTCGTTGGAGAGTAAAAGTAAGCTACTTGTTTATAGTGAGTTAATATAATCGCAGTAAAGTAAAATAATTACCTAGATGTGTGCAGAGTAATACAATCTGCTGCATTCGTATTGCTGTTTTAAAACAACAAGATAACCGCCACAAAAGGAAGTGAAAATAATAAAAAAAATACAATATTAAATAGCTATTTAACGAATGATACGTCTATTTTTTTTTTATCTCATTCCGCTGTTATTAAAAAAACATATTAAAACTCTAAATGGAACTATTACTCAAAGTAAAAATTCAGCTCAATACAATAGAAAACTTAAGCTCAATTGCTCAATTGTTGTTACAAGTTAAATGAATGGCAACAAAGATGTTTTAACATAATGATGAAAAACGTTTAGTGCTGAACCTGGTTAGTGTATCATTACATTAGATCTGAAGGCAATCTACATATTTTTTATCAACAAATAACTTTAAAATGTACAAAAGGGTAAAGCACTTGTTGCATATAAACGGAGCATGATGCTTCATCGCTGAAGTGGAAATGATGGACTCAGTCAGCATCACACAGCACAAAAGCTCAGGGGACCGAGAAAGTCCTCTCTCTCTCTCTCTGTGTGTGTTTGTCATCATAAATTAAACAAATTAATCACTGATTTAATTACTAATACAGTGTGATATTTACATGTGTAGCCTTGCAGTTCACACCTCTGCATATCAGCTTCATGGCTAGTATATGTTAAATGTGTTGCTTCTTGTGATTATAACATTTTAAAAATGTTGTTGGTTACACAATCTATGGTTGTATCAACAGGTTATTGCTAAAGCATGAAACAGAGCCTGTTATTATTTTCAGTTGTTACGGATGTTTGCGAAACACAATTATCAATGTGTAATACTTAACATTGTTTAGCATAAAATAAGCGAGCTAAGCGTTCAGTGAGTTAAACTCATGCTTGAAAAAATATATATTGAATTGAGAGAAGAAGAAAAAAACGGGTTTCCATACTAGACCACATTTTTTGGTTTGCTTTTGTCTCTGAAGATGGCACTACACGGCACTGAGCGGGCCGCAGAACCAGGTCAAATAATTCCCTGAGGTCATTAGAGCGCCCCCACCTGTTACCTGAAGAAGGTGTAGCTTCTAATAACCATCATGCCGTGCTTCGCCCAAATCAATTTAAGCAACAGATTTAGTCATTTTGAGATGATTCTGAAAGTTCAGAATTATTAAAGCATTATGGGGAAAATACTGAAGGATTTGCTGATGCTATTGAATATGATGATTGCATGAATGATGTACCATTTCCACCAAGAAAACTAAAAATATAAAAAAAAATATCTTGATTGTTTTGAAGCGATTGTTGGTTGCTCACTGAAGCCGGTGCATATTTATTAACTCGAATCTTCTTTTTTCCCTAAATGCCTAAAACCAGGGAACCTGTTTCTCTACAAACTACATTATCAC